CGCATTTTCCTGCTTGTGTGACTGGGGCCATATAACAGCAAACAAAGATTTGAATATAATGTCTGAAAGCATTGTTCTGAGAAGGGGGGGGGATTGTCTGAGATGCCCATTACCTGATTTCAAGTTGGCACCTGGAATACCAGGCTGCTAAAGTGATGATTGTGCAATTTGTTCCTGTTCATTTAGCAATGCAGTTTTCATTACTGAAGTGAAGTAACTAATGTCATAGCAGCTTCATTGCAGCTGGAAACCTTGTTTACTTAAATATCAAAACTGTGAGTTGCAAAGTCACATCCTACAAATATGCTAAATCACAAATGAAGAACACAAAAAAAGCTTGAAATCCCCTTTGCATATTTTGTACTTGACGTTCCCAAGTGGGATGTTAATTCACTTTAAATTTAAATGCACACTTCACAAAATGTGTAGAATTTGTAGAAGCTGAGCTTCTCCCAGCTGCAGTAGCAGATATGAAGGCAACCGTGCCTTACAGTGCTTGGGATCAAAATGTAGAGCAGCCTTGATTTAAGTGGATAGCCTGAAGAATAGCCAAAGTACCATACTGATCAAAAGTAAAGGGTGAAAAAACACCCCAGGAATGATATTTACATATAAAAGTGGTGTTGAAATACAGCCGGATGGTGCTGTGACAGACGGGATTCTGATATTGCCAAATGCAGTCCTATACCCAATTTTCCCATACTCAGGCCCATGAACCTCTGATTGATCTTTTATCCCACTCCCTTTAAATCTAGCCTGGAAGTAGCACAACTAGAGATGTAAAATTTCTGGAAATTTTGAAGCTTGGAAAAAACCCCGGGTTTTTTCCGTTTTGGGGGGGTTTTTTCCAGTTTTTTTCGGGGGGAAACTGACATTTTCAGAAAAATTGAAAAAATGTTACATTAGCATTTCTTTTGTCTTTTCTAGATTGAAAGTCATTCTGTTACTTTAGGAACATAAAATATGACTATGGACATTTTTACTTGGCATGAAATTATCACAACTAGCATATTAAAAATATAGTGTATCCAAGCAATTATTTCAAACAGAATACCCACCCACATGCAAAAACAAAACTGAAACTTTTTTATTTTCTTCTGACAATCGCACCTCCTAAAGGAAGAAATGCATCTTGTTCTTGCATTGGAGGGTTCAGTTTGTAACCTAGGACTTGCTTGTCCTCAGTGCACAGAAATTAGATCAATCTGATACCATATATATATATATTAGGAATGATTTGGAAAATATTTGAACACCTTGTCTTAAAATATTTTATTCATCATGTTAAAATAAAACGTTCCATAATCAATTTTTTTTCCTTTTTTCAATTTTTCGGAAAAAAACAAAAAAGCTTCAGGAAAAAAAGGGGGGGAACAGTTTTTCCCCGAATTTTTCCGGTTTTTCCCCAAGCTTTCACATCTCTAAGCACAACCCAGCCTAAAGAACATACTCCATCTTCCAAATAATTGGTAATTAGTGGAAGGCAATTTGGCTAGTGGCAGATTACACAGCATTAACTAATAGCATCTGACAAGTAGCTTTAGATGTTGGATGCGAAAAATATACCCATAAAGTTGCAGAAAAACTGCATGTAATTACCATGATGCCACCCAGTTCAGATTCGGCAGATGAAATACAGGACCTGGAGGCTTTTTCCTAGGTGAATACCATTAACCTAATTAAAGCATTAACTGGAGAGAAAACCAGCTCTGTGAAATAGAGAGCAAGAGCCCTGCTTCAGGGATGACGTTTAGGTACGGCAGAAGGGAGCTGAGTTCAGACAGCCTGTGATCACAGTTCTGAGACTCCTGTATCTCGAGCTAATTCCATGCACCAACTAGCCCCTTTCTCATTGAAATCCAAAATGGCAACTCTGCCTTCCTTTTGTTCAGAATAATACCCTTCAGGTACATTGATGGACCTCTGCATAGTTCTTGCCTTGGCCACCCTACACTCACACATGCATGCATTGTTCGTCCATCAGGCTGTGGTCTGCAAGCAAGGAAGAAAAGGTAACAGATTTCAGCCGGGAAATGCCAGTCAAGTAAACAGAAACTGTAGCTCAATGGAGTGCCTGTTTGTTCATATGGTAAACCAGGGCTTTTTTTTGTAGAAAAAGTCCAGCAGGAACTCATTAGAATAGGCCACACCCAGCAGCAGAAACTCATTAACATATTAGGCCACACCCCCTGACAGTACCACTCATTAGCCTATTACGCCGCATTCCCATGTTACCAGAAGTGTGGTCATCCAGCCACACCCACCTTTTGCTTGTTATTCTGTTTACCTTGTTTGTTGTCAAAACCCAGGGCTTTTTTTCTTGTAGGAACTCCTTTGCATGTTAGGCCACACACCCCAAATGTAGCCAATTCTAATGAGTTCCTGCTGTTGGGTGTGGCCTATTATGCTAATGAGTTCCTGCTGGGCGTGGCCAAATTGGGAGCCAGCCGGAACTCCGTTCCTGTGCGTTCCTGCCCAAAAATAGCCCTGTGGTAAACTATTTCAGCACCAGAAAAAGCCACAAACAAAGTATAACTGCAATCAGATAATATTTGTCAAAGCTTTGACTGATAAACAGTGTACATGTTAGACGTGTCTTACATTTTATCCATTACAAACAGGCAGGGGATTAACTCCCAGACATGCTAAATTATCCTTTTTGGCATGCGGAATAACTTGCTTTGATTTCTAATGGCTGGTGAAGGACAACACTGTTTATAATAATCTGTTTAGGCCACTAACATACATGTCATTTGCCACATACATTCAAAAAAAATTATTGGGATATACCCGGCCAGCTTTCCCTGGTGAAAGAGAGCACTGACTGGACCCTTCCAACCACTGAAAAAGCTCCACTGGGCATAGTGGGATCCATGTGGAGAAAAGTAGTATGGGAGACCGGGGCTGCAGTGAGAAGTGAAACAGGGCAAGACCGTGTGAAAAATCTAGTAGGATACAATACACTTAATTCTAACAACAATACTGTGAGAAAAGTTAGGTTGGGGAAGGAAGGAAGGAAGGAAGGAAGGAAGGAAGGAAGGAAGGAAGGAAGGAAGGAAGGGGGGAGGGAGGCCAGCCCAGGGTCATAAACTGAACTCATCCAGACCTTAACATAATACTCTAACCACAATATCGTTTTAAGAAGTCTCAGCAAAAACACTGAATTAACATATACCACTTACAGCAATGGCACATTTCCTTTTGGAAGATGTGGTAGCCCTGTGAGAGACTATACTGTATTTGGAGAGTAAACATAAAAACAAGGAAGTTAAAAGGAAAAGAGAATCAAATCCTATTGCAAATTGTAGATCATGTCAGAATATACTTAGGACAATGTATTCCTTCACTGCAGCCTATTCGGTTTGTACTTGGAGGAGGTTTGCATAAAGACCAAAGGAGAAGTTACTGTTCTGTAGTAATCAAAGCTTCTGTTGTCAGTTTTTATTATCTGTTCACACTATACTTTGTCATATTTAGGGTAGCCAGGCCCCACCTGGCAACCAGCGGGGGA